CGATACTGACTCCGCTGTACAAAAATACATGTTCTTTATTCAATTCATCCATTCCTTGACCTTTCTTTTTAGTTTCCGTGATCGCCAAAAAATCTAATTGTGCTTTGTCAAATTCATCTATTAATTCTCTCTCTTTTCCATTAAGGCTTCTGACGTTCCACGTAGCCATTTTTATGTACTTTTGTAGTCTGTTTGCCCCTTGATCTTGTATTATATTTTCTTTTTTGTCCAATTCAATTATATCGTTAGACCTTATTCTCGCCTTGTTTGGTATTCCATGTTGATCAGTTCTATTTGGCCGATGGTCTGCTATTTCTTCAAGATTTCATACCGAATTTTAAATTGGATACTTCCCACTCCCAATGATATTGCCATGCACTAAACATTAAGATTTTCTGTGACTTTAGGAGTCACTACCCTTTCGCAAATATTTAGTGGCTTGACTCATGTACACTTGCACTTATGATGGACTTTTTAGTCCGAAAACGTACTGTTGTGATGTAGCCCGAAAGGGTATTTTAATTATATACCTTCTATAAAGGATTTTAAAAAAAGAAGTAATCTATTATTGGTTTATTATCTGCTGTATGATTCGTTAGATGCTTTAAAAAAATACTTTTTTTGTTTCTTGGCAATCGGGCTAAGTGCCTATTCAGCCAGCAGCAATTGTGCAATAACTAGACTTCGGCAAATATGCAAATAAAAATGTAGAAAATATGCGCATAAATATGCACGTGTTTACCCGAAAATATGCAAATATTTTACAAAATATGCATACAAATAAATAAAAAAATCGTAAAATAGTAACAATTTTATTTTAAAAAAATGGCGAATGGATTTAGTGTCCGCAGTCATTTAAACACAAACAAACAACAAACAAATATTAAAAAAAAAAGTGTACATAACTAAATATTTCCTACTATTCATTAAGATTTACATTTATTTTAAGTAACTACATCATTTTTAAGTATGAATAAACTTATTTAGAATTATTATGGTAACAATAAATGACCAAGTGGTGTTCGTTCAACATCAACTGATGTAACGGGAGCATTTTTCAAACTAACCAAAACATTTGGTTCTAAATTAATTGCTTCCGAAATATTTCCAGCTAGAACACTGACTACTTCAGAAAGAATATGGTAACCTTTATTTTTTTCCATAGTAGCTTCAAATTTTTTTAAAATATCTTTTCCAATATTACCTCTAACGTTCCGACAACATGACGCAAATTCTTTTATTAATGCTGTACTTTCGAACAATGACAGTTGGGAACTTTCATCTGTTAACGTATCAATTATGTTCTTTATTTTAACAAAACGATCTGCATAAAAATTAGCTGCTTCTAACCATGTTCCCCATCGCGTTAAAATAGGTTGTGGTGGAAGAGGAATGTTAAGTAGCATTTCTTTATAAAGTTGAATTCTTATAGGAGATTTAAGAAATACTTTTTTGACACTGGATATCATGGTATTTACAAGAGGAAACTTTTTTCGTATTTCCTCTGCAACTCTGTTTAATCCATGCGCTACACAAGTAACATGTATTAAATCTGGGAAAAATATTTTTAAATTTTGTCCTGCTTTCACCATATAAGGAGCAGCATCCGATAAAATAAGCAGTAATTTATTAGAAAGAATAGTTGTCGGAAGAAAAAAAGTTGCTAATGTTTCTTGTATAAAACGCGAAATTGTTAAAGCATGTGTTTTCTCAAGTTGCTGGCATGAAATAAGATGAGATTTTGGTAAGGTATCTTCTTTAAGAACACCAATCAATAAATGAGCAATATACTTTCCTGAGGAATCAGTGGTTTCGTCTACAGATATGTAAAAATAATTATCTGCAATTTCTTCCTTAATATTAATTAACACCGACAAGTATAGCCCGTTCACATTATTTCTTCTTAGAGACCGATCACTTGGAACATTAAGTTTGCAATATTTTTTTAGAAACGAACTAAAATTTACATTTGCTAATTTTGAAAGCGGTATGTTTGCAGACACTACTGCGCGACACAAGTCTTCATTAAAAGTTTCTTGCTCATCTAATTTTTTTGAAGTAGATTGGAAACATTTAGCCATTGAAGTTTGATGTTTTCCTCCTATTTTTCCTTTTTTTGCAATGTGTGAAGCAGTTCTCACATGTTGGTCTATCTGAAATTTCTTCTCACATGCTATCTATAAATAAAAATAAAAACATTTATTTTAACCCAACCTTTAAAATATAAAAATATACAAGGTGTTTTTGGTTAATCAAATAACTGGTTTGGAAAAAAAACACTCGCTAAGTGTTTTAAATGCAGTATTAATCCACAAATTAGTTTTTGTTACTAACCATTAGTACAACATATAACTTATTTTAAAATTCAACAAAAGTTTTTTTTTTGTTAATTCAATTACAATAAAAATAATTGTGTTTTAGAATAGCTGACTTCATAAAAAAAAGTAAAGGTGAAAAATTTTTCTAAATACACACCATTGTATTGTACCATGGACATTTTTTTCTCACTAAAGGAAGCTATTTTTCATTTAAAAACAACCTACGAGTATTAAATTTCAAGTAAATACGTTTATTGGTTTTAAAGTTATTGTTGTTATTAACTAAAAGAATTTAATTTTTTTTAATTTTAACACCCTGTATCTCAAAAAGTAAATAAGTTTGACCCCTCATTAACTATATCGTTTTGTTCAATTTTTCGAGAAGTATCTACAGTCAAACGTTGTAAGTGTCATTTGGAAACACCCTGTATGTATGAAATATTAGATATTTAATAGAAAATATTAGATACTTACAATTTTGCCACAGACTGAACAGTAGATTTTTCCCATATCCATAGACAGCTCTTTATAAGGTTTAATCCAAGTTGAAGCACTGGTTGTTTTAGGCATTATAAAATCACAATCTTCCTTTTTGTTACGCACAACGAGTGTTTACGCTTTGAATATCAAAACAAAAATGATTTACAAATCTGAGCATCAAATTAGAAATGTTTAGGTACCTAATTAAATAAACTGGGAGATTTTGGAAAATCCCTAAATTAGGAACAAAACTATTAGCCGTTTACCTGCTGTTAAGATACAATAAATTGTAGATAGATTTGGGGATTAGATCATAAAATGCAAATGAGCGAACCCTTAGCGATTATCCAATAACTGAATGCCTCAGTGACCGAGACTTTCTAAGAATGTTGAGGGCTACTTAAATTGATCTTCTTTGAAATTGTAAATGTTTTGTACCTGTAGAGATTACGTACTTAGATCATTTCTTGATTAAAATGACTACAAAATTTTATACAAGAATTGAAATAAATTGGTATGTTTAAAAATTTTCAAATACAGTATAAAAATCTGAACTTTTATGCACTTTATGCAAACTTTTATACAAATATGTCAAAATATGAAATATTTGCATAAAATATGCACAATATGCAAAATATGCAATATGCATATTTGCCGAAGTCTAGTAATAACGTTCACTTAAATTAACCTATTCGAACTAAACAAAATACACAACAATTCTGGAAATTAAAAGAAGAACTACGATGGGAGAGGAACTAAGATTACTTTTCGCACCTATGGGTCATTCAAGGTGACTCACAGACAGGAAGTGTAGACCACGAAAAGTATAGGTAAAAAGGTAAAATATTTGGCGATTCAACAGAGGTAATGAGCTTAACACCTACACTAAATACATTTTAATAAATTTAATAAATTTATGAATAATTTTATATACATTGTATAATATTTAATGATATCAAATAAAGTAGATTGAAAGGGGGTATTAATAGTAAAACTATTAATAAGTTCCTGTCTTTGTATTTCAAATTTACTACAAGCATAAAAAATGTGATCAAAGTCGCAAACCACATTGAAAGTTTCACAAAGTTTCGGTGTCCGGCTCGAAAGACCATAAACAAATTCCCCTTCGTTGGCTCAGTGGAGATGTTCGTTCAGTTGTAATGGAAACACCAAATAATAGTAGCAGAGTTTATTGATGAGACGTACACTATGGGTGTTTGACCCGGGATTACTTTGAGTAGAGACTGTTGCAGTTGATCGCTGAAGACTATCAAGTTTGGTGAGTGAATATTGATTGAATGCTTTTTAGGCAAGAGATATTAGTTTTATATAAGTTTTAATTGGGTCAATATATTCGCGGGCCTCGCGTGATATGTGTGTCTAATTTATGTAAATTGTTTAACTTTGTCAGCACTTTTGACTGATGTCCAAATTATATTGGTGATAATTGACCAAATCCGTATGTAACCTAATTAACTACGTGTGTGTATTTAATAACAAATAAATTCATTCGGTCTACTGGGTGATAAAATTATACTGTCCAATTTCGGATATGAATTCTGAAGATTTGATATTGGACACTACACCGATTTTATATAAGTGTTGAGGGAAGCTTGTATGTCCGAATTTCTTGTAAAATCATAATCTTGCTGCCACAAATCTGTCGGAATACTTGGATGTAATAGTGTGTATAGTGTGAGGTTATTAGAGCGATAGTTTTTCCAATGCAATTCCCATTTTGCCTAAAAATTACTCTTAGATACCAATAAATACTCTTGAGCACCTAAATTGTTTTTGATATGCTCTCCAGTTGTAACGTTTTCTTACTTAATTTCTTTTTTCTTCATTACTTAAAAATACTTAATATTATTACTTTAAAATATTAATATTTTATGTACATGACACAACCCACTTCATTTTAACATTTTTTAGAACTGAAAGTGGTTCTATTTACTTAAGTGGCACATAATCATACAGTATGATTACCAATAAACACCACATTTGACATGTTTATAAAAGAAAGTTTTCAACTAATGACTATGTTATTTTCCATTTATAACTAATTTTGAGTTTACTTAATCATTCATATAATTTGGTTTACCCATGTTTAACAAAAGTGTTTAGTAAAGGTAATTTGTAATTATCTATTATGCCCGTAAATATTTTATTATAGTAAGCAAAGTTGTTTTTTTCTACTTTCAGATATGAAGAATTCTAGTACCAAGAACAAATAGATTAGAGAACTGCTGATTAAATCATTCATTATCAATATAGCGGAGAGGTCAAGGGCTACATCAAGAAAACTAAACACAAGATAGTGGGGATAACTCTAATTACTTTTCAACAGATATTTCTAAATAACCAAAAATTTAACCGTTTAGAAATGTGAACAGTGTTTGTGAGTGTGGATAGTTGTAAAAATGTTCGGTTTCACAAATTCTTATTCTATCTTGTACCTACTGTTTACCATTTCGCTGGGACTTTGCTATGGATTTGTGCTACTGTCCTCTGCAGCGGGTGATTTTAATGAAGTTAACGTTTTCGAAAAAGGCGTTTCTTTCAAATACAAGCTACAAAGTACCGTATTGTTAAATGAGAAGGGCCTTCGTGGGAAAAGTGTGGGATTTTTCATCGATGGAGAACTTACTGTAGACTCGGTATGGGAAAATGGAGATCACAAGCTGTTACGAATGGAGGTAAGATTTTTGCTTTACTTTTGAAAACTAAGATATAAGTAAACATATAATACAGTTTTATTTTAAAATATGTGAAAAATTTTTAGTTGCCTTTTACACTTTCACTAACTTATATTCTCTAAGAAGTTTTAATCGAAGTTTCGGTTGTTTCTGTTTCATCAAATATTTTATGTAAGGAATATCCTGTAACGGTGTTACTCAATAGTTGATTAAGCTTTAATCACATTTTTTTAAGTATAAATAAATATTTCTATATTTATTACAATTTTTGAATAATCTCGCACATATTAAATAACTACACATTATGTGGTATACTAAAATTGGAATATAGATCAATGAGACATTCCTCTTCTTCTTCTTCTATGGCACTACAGTCCAAATTGAGCCTTGGCCCTTTATTTTTTGCCTCCACATTTGCTTGTCTGTGGCTGATCTTCTTCATACACGAACACTTTTTTATAGATCGGGCATACTATACTTTTCTTCCAGTCGTCGGGTATTTTCTCATCCTGCCATATGTCTTTGATGATCACTTGGATGTGACTTGCTAGGTGATCGCCACTTACCTTATACAATTCTGCTGGTATTTCGCAAACTCACGGGGCTTTATTGTTTTTACTACTACTACTAAGGATTTCCACAGTTTTCACTGTCTTCCTTCACTCAACCGTTTTCTCCAATTTTCCCTGTCATTCCAGTCTCCATCTCGCAGGGTTCTTTTCTCCATAGCCTCGTCGATTTCGTCTCTGAATGACCTTCGGGGTCTTCCTTTCTTTCTTCTTCCGATCGGGCTCCATTCTGTGATTTTGTTTATCCAGCGTCCTCTGTCCGCTCTTCTGACGTGGCCGTACCAGGATAGTCTCTTCTCCTCTATATAGTCGATTATGTCTGATTGCACTCCCATTCTCGCTTAATCTCTGCGTTTCAATTCTGTCTCTTTTTGTAAGTCTACAGCTTCTCCTCAGGAACTCCATTTCTACTGCTCTTATTCTACCTCTATTTCTCTTGTTTATTGTCCAGTTTTCGGACCCATATGTCAGGATACTTCTTGTCAGGGTATTATATATTCTCTTTTTTGTCTTTATCGTAATGTTCTTATCCCACAGCACTGAATTTAGTTGTCTTATACAGTTTCTTGTTTGTCTTAGTCTGTTGTTTATATCTTTTTCTGTTGTTCCCTGGTTCGATATTATGGTTCCTAAATACTTGAATTTATCTGTTCCATTTACTTGTCTTCCCTCGTCTATCTCTAGGTTTCTCATATCCTTGTTTTCTGTTGTTAGGTATTCTGTTTTCTCTAAGTTTATTTCCATTCCGTTGTTTTTATATCCTTCTTCTAGTTTTCTGAGCATAAAGCTGAGATCTTCTTCATCTTGTGCGATGACTACTTGATCGTCGGCAAAACTTAAGGTGTATAGGTATTCGTCTCTTACTGGTATGCCCATTCCTTCGCACTTTCTCCTCCATGGTTTGAGTGTCTTTTCCAAGAATATTTTAAACAGAGTAGGGGACGTAGCACAGCCTTGTAGAAGTCCTTTTGTCGTCTTAAATGGATTGTAGGCTTTATTTCCACATTTAATAGCTACTTTGTTTTCTTTGTACAGTGCTTTAACTGCTTTTATTAGTGTTTGTCGGATTCCGAGATCATTCATTGCTTCCCATAATTTGACTCTAGACTCTTTATTGTTTTTATGGGCCTTAATAGCTTCGAGAACTTTCTCTATGTTTCGAGCTTCTACTGCATTCTCTATTTCATTCTTTTCTACGTAGTTCGTACCCATTTCATCTTTCATATCTACTTGTGTACCAAGTAGTGTCTGAAAATAATGCTTCCAGGTTTCTGTGACTTTCTGTAGGTCACTGATTATTTGCCCACTTTCATCTTTACATAGACTTGTTTAAGGTTTATACCTGTTTTTTATTTTTTTTAGGTACTGGTAAGCCCCTGTAATTTCGTTGTTTTTGAAATTTTCTTCCATTTTTTTCTATTTTTCCATTTTCATAGGCTCTTTTTTTATTTCTACATATTGTCTGCTTTCCGTCTTGGGACTTCAATTGATGTTTGTCTTTCCCGTGTTCTTCTTGTTAGCGTCCTTACCTCATTTGTGACTTCTTCTTCGAACTTCTCTTTACATTCCCGAATTTTCAGTTTTTCCAGATCCAGTTTATTTCTTCTTTGTTGTCTTTCGTTTCTTTCTTTGTTAACTCTGCATCTAAATTTGGTTTGGAGTAAAAGATGGTCTGATCCACAGCATACTCTTCGTCGTGTTCTCACATCTGAGATACTACTGGCTGCCCTTTTGTCTATCAGCACATTGTCGAGTTGATTGCTTGTGATTTCATCTGGTGAAAATCATGTCATTTTGTGTATCTCTCTATGTGGGAAACTTATAACCATGTTTTTGCTGGTGGCAAAACTTATTAAAAACTCCCTATTCTCGCTTGTTTCATTGTGCAGTGGGTGTTTTCCTGTTATGCCATAGAACTGCGACTGCTTGCTTATTTTAGCATTTAAATCACCCATTATAATCTTGATGTCATTTTTGGTCCAGCTGTTGGTAGAAGCTTTCCTTTGTATGTTGTTCTTGTTCTTCTGTTGGGCAGTGAATGTTTATAATTGTTAGGTTGAAGAGGTGCAATTCTAACTTGCATATCATTTCACTGACTGCCTGCAAGTCTATGATTTTTGACTTAAATTCATTATCCACCACAAATGCAATGCCACATTCTTTGCTTCCTTGTTCCTTTCCACTGTACAAAATTGTGTGCGTTTTAGTGTCCATGACACCTTTCCCCAGCTATTTAGTCTCCTGAAGAGCAGTAATCATATTACTAGAGCAATTTACTTTCGTACTTCTGATGCTGTGCAGTAGCGTGGACTATGGTCTGTTGAGTTTCTAGCAATAATCTAAAACAGTCGCCAATTCCTGAAATATACTTTATTTTAGATAAACTGAATTCATATATAAGAAAATAGTATAATTGCTTAGTAAGAATACAAATGAATAATTATTTTGTAAATAGACTCATTCCCACGTCAATCTTCCTCAAATCACACAAATGGATATTTGGAGTAGACTGACTAGTTTGAAACATCAACGTATACCTATGTGAACGGAAATTGGTTATTAAATTAATATCTATTTAACATAACAAAATGATAATAGGTTTCAATCAAATACAACACGTAAGTAATTAGGTAAACGGTTAGAAAACGAGAGCGTGACTTCTACAACTACAGTTATATTTAATGCATTGCCTTCCGTTTTCAGAACCGTATGGTTTGTAAATAATATCCTTAATGTAGAAAAAATAAGGCAGAACGGCTACGTAAGTCGGTTATTGCTATAACTACATGTCGTGTATGGAAAAATACAGAATAATAAACATTGTCAGAGAAAAAGTAAGCATGAAAAGAAAAAAAATAGATATATTGATAAAGCAATGACCTAACTACACATAAAATTAAACTATATTTCTAATTTTTAAGTAGGGAGAAATTGAAGATCCTGCCACATAAACATGAGTAGAAAAATAAGAAGAAATTAGATTTACAAGACGTAGAATTTCATTTACAAACACAAACATCAATGTTTTTAATAATAAACATCAGTTTATATGAAAAGTTAATAAATTTATTTTAACCTTCAATTGTGGCTTATTCCCAATAAAATAGTAATAACTTTTTATCAATATATTTAATAGTTTAATTTATCAAAAAATGGTTAATTTACCGAAAGTACAAGCTGAATATAACCGCAAAAAATATTTCGGATTGGCACTGTTGGCATGTTTTTAGAATGCATATATTGTATGCTAAATATATCAAACGAATGTACAAAGATCAATTATAGAAGACATCGAAAAACAACAACTGACATGGTACGGACATATTAGACGTAATGGGGAAGACGTATACCAGAAAAAAATATTAGAATGGGTATCACCAGAGAAAAGAAAAACGAGGACGACCACCAACAACATGGATGCAAGGAATTTCAAAAGCAATGTCACAAGAACTTTTGAAAGCGGCGAATAGACGGCTCAGGGAAGCAAAGCGGATTACGCTATGAACGGGATATATATATATATATATTATATATATATATATATATATATAATATATATATATATATATATATATATATATATATTGTATGCCTCAATAAAAGATAAAAGAGATAAAGCTTTTAAAAAGTACATTTCGATTATAATATTTTATGAATTCTGCAATTTTTAATTTATATGAAGCAGTAACGAGTAGATATTTGTCTCTTTCGAGAATAATTGCAAACATTTGTTGTAATCAACTGCTGATTTGACGATTGCCAAATCTATCCCCTAATCTACCAAAGGGTAATTAAACATACCAACACTGGTATACCGAAATTTTTTGTTCCACGTTTGACATTTGCGGCTATAATCAGCTTGTACTTTCGGTAAACTCAACCCAAAAAATATATTAAAAAAAAATTTCAGGCCTCAAAGAAGCAAGCACAACCATCTTTTTAGGGAATTTTCTTAACTTTTTTACCTTTCTACAACATACTGCTTTATAAAAATATTTTATTAAAAAGTTTTTTATTAAAAACTTCAACTATGCATGTGAATTTTTTGACATTTTTAAATTGATTGCAGCCCTGCAACAAAAAAATAAACACGAAAAAATGATATTTTTGGGGATAGAGGAGGGGATAGCTTTCTAAAATGGCGCTCTTATCCTTATTCACATAAAACGTAAAAAAATGAAAAAATTGATTCAGGTATCAATTTCAGAAAATATGATTGACCCCGCAAAATCCTTGAAAACTACCAAAAACATGGATTAAAGGTGTTTCGCTCAATTTTTGAATGCCCTTTAAGACCCAGATACTTCTATTTATATAATAACCTGTAAAAAACGTTTATTTGGGTCTATTTTACGTCTATAAAATGAGGAAAATCCCAAAGAACTCTAGAAGTGACGCACCTGACGAAAAAATCTGGAAAAAATTAGACCAAGTCAAATAGACAAGTTTTGTAAAATCTTGAGCTTTGCGTGTAAATTTATTTAACCCCGCAAATTAATCCTGCAAAATTCAGGAAAAAACAAGATTTTTGGGGGGGTTTAAGGTGTTTTTTGACAACTGAGAACAATTTTTGAGGGTCTTCTCCAGCTATTTTAAGTTATATATAGCCTATAAAAAGCCCTAATTTGATATATTTTGAAGACTATAAACTGGAGAAAATCACCAAAAAAAAAAACAGTTTTCTTGAAATTTTTTAAGGTGGTGCACCTGAGGAAAAAATTAAAAAATCAGATATAAAGTTCCTGATTAAATACACAAAATAGAAAAAAAATATACCTGCAGCCATTTCCAAACAAAAATTATACGCTTTAAAAAAATGCATTTTTACATTATGTACACTCAACCAATAGGTATATAAAAAATACACAGGTGTTTTAATAGACTCAACTAAGCGACTGAATTTTTTGAAATTGTTAAATTGCAACCCACCAAAACACAAACGAAAAATGACGATTTTGGGGTAGAGATTGGAGGGAAGGAGATGGCGGCTTAAATTTGCGTCGTCTTTTTTTTAATCACCTAGAACGTAAAAAAAATTAAAAAATTGAATTCTGGGAGAGAGGGCATTTTGCCTATCTTAACAGAGGGTACCCTTTGTGAAATGGACTGTAATTAGGGCTGTTAACTCCCTTTCTCCCATTAGTCATTAGCTCAAATTAATGTGATTTATCATTTACATTTACTTATGGTATTTGTTTCATTAGTTGATAACATAATGATCAGGGTCAAGCTAAATATAAGTAACTATAGGTCAATAACATCTAAGAATATACAGTTGTTAATATGGAAAGTGTAACCGCACAAGACATCGATGACAGAATTTTTTAAATAATCGTAACAGTAAATGGTAGCGACGCAACTGAAACAAACAAATTTTAATGAACTCTTTTATTTGACACATTGTTTTATATCTCGACAAGAAAAAGGAAACATTTAATTGAAACTGTTTTCTGGTGATCTCTGAACTTCTATTAAATACCTTGACGGGAAGAAACAAACTCTTTATTTCAAGTTTCGGCTTGTAACTCATTTTCAAAATACAGAATTATGTATGCTACTTTTGGATACTCTATTTTACATTACTCTTCCATATGCGTCTATATTCTTCGATATAAGTAACAAATAGGGTCTCATAGGCATTTTTATAGGTTATTTTCATTTTATTCAAAAATATTTAATGCCATTTGTCAAAATAAAAAGATGTTAGCAATAATTGTCTTTTAGACATGAAGTATTTTGTTCTCTATTAAAGGATCTTATAAAAAAGGCGGCTGTCATCTTACGGTTTCAATAACTCTCTAATAATCGTATCACGATGAACATCTTTTTAAAAATATCACGAGATGCGATAAAAATTTTAGTATTTAAATTGAGTTTTCTAGAAGAAAAAAACAGAGAAGACAATAAACGTCATGTTAGAAGATAGGGTGTTGTGGCAAATGTAATAAATACCAGATATTTTTGTATATAATTCTTCAAAGTTTACTGTACTTAAAATTTACTAAAAATGCTGGTTTTGTTGCCTTCTTTTCTATAAAAATTACAAAGCTGAACAAGCATATGCATTTTTTAACATTCATTATTTATTAAACTTTATTGTCAACATACGATTATTTTCAACCTCATTATTTTCTTTTTTAGTTGAAATCTCCTAAACTTCATATTCGCTCGAGAAAGGCTCCTGCTCCAGATGGATTCATTCCTCATTCCTCCAAATTGGACAGTATCGAAAACAAACCGTTTTTGATAGATTGGAACAAGGGAAAAATCAGTAAAATCTTCCTGTCAAAAAGTGAGCCAGTTTCATTAAAAAACGTTAAAAAAGGCATAGCAAGTTTATTCCAGGTAATATTTTTTTTACTGTTTAAGGCGGAAATACAACATTCAATTCGGTTGAACAATATGGATGATTCAATCAAAATGAACCATGTATTTTGCAATTCAATAAAAGCGTTCAAAAAAATTGAACGTTGAAATGAGTTGAGCTAATTTCTACTTTCGTTCAACTTCGTTGTACAACTGGGATGATTCATTCACATTGACTCATCTATAATTCTACAAGTTTTGTCGATTGTGTTCGATTCAACCGTTTATTTTATCGAGTTAGAATCTTTTCATTTTGATTTGTGATATAAAGGCCCGTTTTCACGGTACACTTTGGATGATCATCCCGGGTGAATCATCCAAAGTGAAAAATAAATGAATCGTATAAACTATTATTCATCGACAGTGATCATCCAAAATGAATATTGAACGAAGTTGAACCGAGTTCTACTTTTGTTCACTTTAGGGGATGCATCGCGGATGAATCATCCAAGTGAACCATGTAAACATGCATTTGTTGCTGTAATTCATCGGTAGTGACTAGTGAACGGCGGCAACAGGTCCACGTGGTTGTGTATTGTCGCGTTTGAAGTGCGTAGTTGTTGTGTTTGTGTCATATACTTGACTCTTGACCTTTAGGAGTTCCATGACATGACACTTGTCACTTGACGGATGTCAGGGGACAATACACTTTACACTTGACAGATAGGGATATAGCATATAAGATACCTACATAAGTTACCACGCACATGTTTAATTAGTAAGTGAAATAAACGAATATAAAATACATTCTACACCATTTTAATTACATTACACCTATATACACAACAGTTTGGCGACGAGGACGGTCGAATCTACAAGGAAATAGGCCAGTATACATACATAACCTAACTGCAGCGTGGTGAACCAGTAAAAATTTACAAATCTACATACATAAGTGAAATCCTGTCTGATTTACAACTATATATACATTAAAAGGATGACTGAGACTACAATTCATTCAGTTCATACCGTATTTAGCATTGAAACTTACGATACATCCAAGAATTTTGACCGGTGGTTACAACGTCTTCAGAGTGCATTCAATGTTTTTGCAGTCCCAGAAGACAAGAAAGCCGCATACCTTCTACATTACATGGGTCCAGATGCATATGATATTCTTTGTGACAAGATTTCACCGGAAAAACCAGACGAGAAATCATATGATGAACTGGTAAATACAATGAAACTACATTACAACCCTGAACCGTTGGAAATAGTGGAAAATTTCAGATTTTCACAAAGAAAACAACATGAAGGGGAAAGTGCCAATGAATACATTACAGCTTTACGAAGATTAGCCACAACTTGCAAATTTGGGGATTATTTAAACAAAGCCCTGAGAAACCAATTCGTATTTGGTCTTCGAAACCAAAATATTCAAAGCAGACTCCTAGAATACAAGGACCTTACGATAGAGAGAGCATTAGAAGTTGCCGTCAGCATGGAGACATCAACCCGAGATGCAGCTCGATTACAGAAGTCAAATACAAGTGCAAATATAAATAAAGTTTCTAGTGTCAAGAATAAACAAGGACACATACAACCTACAAATGGGAAAAGAAATGATATTCATAACCAAGCTAAAAATATATTTTGTTTTAGATGCGGATCTTCACATCATATTGCAAACAAATGTAATAAAACACATTTAGTCTGTAGCAAATGTAAACGAGGAGGTCATCTGAGCAAAGTATGCATGAAAAGTAAAAGTTCAAATCAGGTAGATCAAGTGGAAGAAATTTTCAACATTCATTCAGATCATTCATACTATAGGGAAAAATTTACAATTTCAGTTGAAGTCAACAAGGTAAGCCTATTTTTTGAAATAGATTCAGGTGCAGCTGTTACATTATTAAATTTGAATGATTTTAAAACATATTTTCCTAATTTAAAATTACAAAATACAAATTTAAAATTAGTTACATATTGCAAACAGGCATTAGATGTGGTGGGTGTTACAGAGGTGAATGTCAAGTACAAGGGAGATACAAAATTTTATATATGTACATAGTAAATTCAGATAGACCACCATTAATGGGTAGGGAATGGATACGCCAGTTAGATATAATCTTTAATAACATTTCAGAAGTATCTGAATTTACAATACAAAACTTAACAATTTACTTACAAAATATTCGGTAGTTTTCCATGAAAGCATGGGCAAAATTCAAGGCTTACAAGCCACATTAAAAGTTAAACCAACCACTTCACCTTTCTTTATTAAAGCAAGGAAGATACCATATGCGTTATTACCAAAAGTGGAACAAGAACTTACGAAGTTAGAAAAAGAAGGTATTTTAGAAAAAGTTAATAGTTCTGAATATGCTACACCTATAGTACCAGTTATGAAAAGTAATGGTCAAGTACGGATTTGTGGAGATTTTAAAAGTACACTTAACAAGCATTTAGTGGTAGACGAATACCCATTGCCTACAATTGAAGCTCTATTTTCTACCATGGCTGGTGGAGATAAGTTTACAAAGCTTGACTTACAACAAGCATACCTACAAATGGAAGTACGCCCAGAAGATAGGAAATACTTAACACTTAGTACACCCAGGGGATTGTATAGAAGTACAAGATTAATGTATGGTATTTCCAGTGCACCTGCAATATGGCAGAGGGAAATTGAAAACATTTTAAAAGATATCCCAGGAGTGACAGTTTTCCTAGATGACATAAAAATTACAGCACCCGATGATGAGTTACATTATCAAAGACTAGAATTAGTTCTTAGCAGACTTGCAAAATACAATATTAGAGTCAATCATGAAAAATGTCAATTTTTAGCAAATCAGATTGAATACTGTGGATATAAAATTGACAAAAATGGTATACATAAAACCAAAGAAAAGATGGAAGCTATACAGAAAGCAAAAACACCTACAAACAAGACAGAAGTTAGAGCATTAGTAGGACTCATAAATTACTACGGACGGTTCTTACAAATTTGAGCCATACTTTACATCCAATTTACAATCTTCTTAAAGATGGAGTATCTTTCAAATGGGACAGAAAATGTGAAGAAGCGTTTACAGCAGTAAAAAGAGAAATGATCTCTGATAAAATTTTAGCACATTTTGACCCAAGTTTACCTTTAATACTTGCAACTGATGCGAGCCCATATGCAGTTGGAGCAGTATTATCTCACATATATCCGGATGGATCTGAGAGACCAATCCAATTTGCTTCACAAACACTTACAAAAGTACAACAAAAATATGCTCAAATAGATAAAGAAGCATATGCCATAATTTTTGGTATTAAAAAATTTTACTATTATCTATTTGGTAGAGAGTTTACACTCTATGTGGATAATCAACCTTTAATTCAAATATTCTCTCCATCTAAAAATTTACCTACACTAACTACAACTAGAATGCAACATTATGCACTGTTTCTTCAAAGTTTTAATTACACAATTAAGTATAAAAATACTAAAGTCCATGCAAATGCTGATGCAATGTCAAGATTACCTCTTGATAATACTTCTGAATTTGATTATGACGTGGGAGATCAGTTTGAAATCAGTCAAATAGAAACTTTACCTGTCACTTTTAAGGAATTAAGTTTTGAAACTACAAGAGACCCCACACTACAAAATCTTTACAATGCTCTAGGAACTGGAAAACTGATTGATGCTAGGGATAGATTTAATGTCCCACAGATAGAATTTTCTTTACAAGGAAATTGTATTTTTCGGCAACAAATGGCAGTTATTCCAACTAACCTACGTAAAAAAGTTTTAAATGAATTACATACTGCTCATTTTGGCATAGTCAAGATGAAGATGCTTGCAAGAGGATACTGCTGGTGGCCAGGAATTTCTAAAGATATAGAAGATATATGCAAAAATTGTACAGACTGCAACAAAATCAGGAATAATCCAGAGAAAACAGTAGTACACCCATGGGAGACACCTAGAACCCCTTTTGAAAGAGTGCACATAGATTTTGCAGGACCTTTCATGAATTCATACTACTTTATTCTAGTGGATGCCTATACTAGATGGCCAGAAATACATATAGTGAAAGATTTGACAAGCAAAACTACCATAAACTTGCTAAGGAAAATTTTTTGTACATTTGGAATTCCAAATTGTTTAGTTTCAGATAATGCACAAACATTTACTAGCTATGAATTTAAACAATTTATACAGCAAAATGGAATCTTTCACAAATTCAGTGCACCCTACCATCCAGCTACAAATGGAATGGCAGAGAGGTACGTACAAACATTAAAACAAGCGCTACGTGCACAAAAAGGAGATAATAATGAAAGGGAGCTACAGCTTAACAAATTCTTACTAAATTACAGAAGAACACCACATAGTACAACTGGTGTCAGTCCTTCAAATTTAATGTTTGGAAGAGAGATCCGAACACGATTAGATTTATTGAAACCATTTTACAAAACACCTGTACAAAATCAAAACCATCCCAAGGTAAGAAACTTAGAGGTGGGGGAGAGAGTAGAGACTCGTGATTACATACATGCTGATAAATGGGAATTTGGTAGAGTCAAACGTAAACTAGGGAAATTGCACTACCTTATACAGTTAGACGATACAAGAATATGGAAAAGACATATAGATCAAATCAGATCTATAGGGGAAAATACACCTATGTACATTAATATACAACCAACACATTTTGACCTGGGTAATAATCCAATTGTTACAAATACTTTTGCGCCACATGAAGCAGCACCCTGTTCTAGTTCAGTTCAAGATAAAGATGTACATGATTCAAATAATACTCCAACTTGCTTACCACAAATACTAGACACTACAAATACTGCAGCTAGCTCAGATGACGCCCCCGTACTACGAAGGTCCCAACGGGTGATAAAAAAACCTGTTAGGCTGGACTTGTAAGTATTATGTTATTGTTTTTATTTTTCTAACCTTACAAGTTTAGTATGTAATTCCTTACGAGGAGGAGAGTGTCATATACTTGACTCTTGACCTTTAGGAGTTC